AATAGAGAAAAACTCATCTAATTTCTACTTTCAGCAGCCAAATGAATTCATGCTAACCATTGGTATCTAGATAATATCTCAATGGCAAGATGCTATGATCTGATCTGATCTGTAGCATTGCTTGAGAAAGTTACTGATCAAATCCACTGCTCTGGCAGTGTAAAGTAGCAAATTATTATTCCATGAAGAATGGTGGGATATTACTGTTTATATAAAAGATATATATCCTTGTAATAATTTGTATCAGAAATTATGGGCAAGTTTAAATGTACCAGCATCATGCAAATTTTAAATTTCATCAATAAAATGTTTTAAAAGCCTATTCCTTTGTTTTTGCTATTGCTACCTTCTTCTTGTACTACCTCATTCCTCTGCAGCTTATGAACAAGTTTAAAGTTAAATGTTCCTTCTGTATAGCTCATTCAACTCTGCATGAAAAATAATTCAAACAAAAACTTAGAAACAGCCAAGGGGGGGGGGGGAGGAATAATTTGGCCTTCCCAAATACAAAGTTTCTTTTCATCTCACATACTTATAAACTTGTGAAATACTAACACAAAGATTTCATTTACATATAGGGCAGTAAACAGTGCCTCACAGTCCACTTCCACACAATGAAAAGCCAATTACATCAGAAGCTAACATTCTGTACATAATATGGTAGTGCCTTACCTCTGGTTGGCAGGCTCAGTGAGCAGTTCCATGTTGACTGGATGTCAAGCCAGCAGAAGATTCTACCAGAATAATGCTAAAAGCATCACTTGCCTTGAAATTTAAGGGCATCTTCCTCTCACTGCCCTCTTGTACCACAGGAAACAGCAGGCCCAAACCTGCATCACATTTGGATCACCTTCACCATTATGCAATTGGAAATGTGGGTATTTCATTTTTTTGGGTTTTTTTTTTTGGTTTTGTTTTGATTGCTCTTCTACCTCACATTTTTGTTTTACCTGCTGTTCATTTAGTTTCCTTTGAATCTCCTCGGAGTCACAAGTTTCATAGACAATGGCTTTGGATAACTCTGATTCAATGTGGGCGAGCCAAGATCTCAAGATGCTCATGTTCTTATCCAACTGCTGAATTGCCACCAAGGTCTCCTTCAGTTTCTTCATCCTGTTAAAGTGACAGACAATATTATGAGCATGTTTACTCAGGAGCTCTGCATGTCTACCTTCTTAATTGACGTATTTATTTCAGCAATTTTCAGTATAGATATGGTTTTGACTTTTGCAATGGAAATGAATAACATAACCAAGTATGTTCAACTACAGGCATAAAAATTATAGATACAGTAAATGTGCAAATAGTATTGTTAACTATTAAAAGATATTTTAGTTCAAAAATGTATTGCTTACAATAATTACTTTTAGATCATGCAAATAGGAAAAGGCTTATTTTAATTTTAATTTAGCAATGTTTGCTTCAGATTCAATATTTGCAGTTAACCGGAGAGCCAGTGTGGTGTGGTGGTGAAGATGTTAGACTAGGAATGGGACTCAAGATCTACTTCACTCTCAGCCGTGCAAACTCACTGGGTGACTTTGGGCCAGTCAATCTCTCTCTCTCAATTTGACAGAATTGCCAAGGGGGAGGGGAAACCAAAACCAAAACAAGTCTTGAATTGCACTTAGATTTAAGGGCATACCAGAAGGTCAATGGGCCTTTTTGGTTTTCAGAGGATACTTGGGAAAGATCCTGAGGCTCTAGCGTGCAGTTTGACTAAGGCCTTAGTCACTTCTTGGGAAGAGAGGGTGATGATGTCCCTTGATTGGATTATGCCTTCTCTGCATGTACATCATGAAGGGCCAAGTACATGAAGGGCATGTACTTCATGAATTCATGAAGAAATTCTCAAGATGGTGACAGAAGAGACACCTAGAGCACCGCTGGAGAAGGACAAACAGCAAATCTGAGAACAGGAAGAGCATTTATTAAGGATTACACAGTGGCAATTATAATGGTAGAACATCATCATTTTTCCACTTTAATTTTATCTGTGGAGTGCCATCTGACAGCCTTGCTTAAGGTTGGTCCTTAGAGAGAGATGAGTCAGAAAGCCATCTGAAGGGTTGTTATGAGGGTTTTTTAAGGTGTCTATTGGATAAAGAATTTGAATCCATTCTTTATCACTCAACTGTGCAGGTCCTGTAACATTTGTTTGTTTGTTTACTTATTTATCTGCCCATCTCACATAAAAGTGACTCTGGGTGGCATACAGCACTTAATTAAAAACAAAAAATACATAAAAACAATCATAATTAAAAGTAACAATAAAAAGCACACAAAACAGAGAGGATGATATTAACCACAATAAGGTTAAAAATAAAGTTGACTGAGGTGTGGTCTGGCATGATCATCTGGGAAGAGTTTGTGCCTGTTAGTCCTGAGGAATTGGAGAGGGTCCTTGGAGTTGTGCATGTGCCACTTGTATATTAGATCCATGTCCCTCTCTAGTTGGTCAAGGCCTTCCTAGAGATGATATGTGGGTTGTTCAAGCAGTGATGAATTCATCCTTGAGAGAGGGGTGAGGAATTCAACCTGCACTTCAGGTGGTGGTAGTCTGATGCATCTTCAAGAAGCCATTGTTGGACCAGTGTTGGAAAACTTCCAGCCACTCTCCAATCTTCCGTTCTTGTGGAAGTTTGCTGAGAAGGTGGACTGCAGCTTCAGAAAACTCCAGAGTAAACCAATTATCTGGATCTCTTTCAGTTGAGTTGCAGGTCTGGGCATAGTACAGAGAAGGCACTGATCATGCTTATGGATGGTCTTCCTTGATCTCTCAGCACCTTTGATACCATTGATCCTTCTGACTCAGGGGTTGGAGGTACAGTGTTGCAGCAATTTCCTTCTTCCACTAGGGCTGGTTTCAGTTGGTGCTGATAGTGGAGAGAGGTCTAGTCCTTGGCCCTTGCTTTGTGGGAGGTTCAATTCTTTCTCTGCTCCTGTTTAGCATCTACATGAGGCAACTGGGTCAGGTCATCTGTCAATACAGGGTTAGAGATCATCATTATGCTGATGATACTCAACTGGGTATCTCAACTCTTGGCCAGCCAAACAATGTTTTTGAAGTTCTGTCTCAGGGTCTAGAGGCTGTAGTGGTCTGGACAGGGAAGAATAGGCTCAGACTACTTGGAAGCAACAGCTGGTCCAAAATGCTGTGGTGCAAGCTGTTATTTCTACCTGTCTAATAAGATATGACAGAGTGGGTCTGTCACTTAAGCATTCCCTCTGAGACCCTGCCTGTCTTTCAGAAGGGTCTGAAGACCTGAGTTTCCCCCCAGCATGGAGTCAGGAGGTTTTGTGCCTGCCTTGACTGTTTATGACTGTTTTGAACTTTCTGAAGTTGCCTCTCGTACAATATATATTCGTTTGTTTGTTTGTATGTATGTATGTGTGTATGTGTATATATACACATATACATATATATATATATTATTAAAGATTATAATTACAACAGTAAACTAATTTTAGTTTGTAAACTAATACAAAATGAAAAAAAGAATAAAAAGAAAGATAGAAGGTGCAGAAAAGAAAAGAAGGGAAAAAGAGAAATAGAAAAGAAAGAAAAAATAAGAATATAGTAAAGAAAAAGGATATATATAAAGAAGTGACTTCCCACCTTCATCACAACAATATAAACAATTTTAGTAACTTATCACTTTCTCTTAAAATACCACAAATGATCTCTTCTTCCCATATGCCATCTCTTATCTATAAACAGCAGCTGTCAGGAGCACTTGTGGGCAATCTCAAGTCCTCTCCTTGTCCAGAGAGGAATTATTGAAGAGCCAGTCTACTCACTGGCTCTTCATTCCGCCACAGATGTTGACTGTGCCATTTCTTCTCTGGAAGCCTTTTTATTGTATTTTATTATATTTTAATGCATTTTTTCTTCTTTGCTTCTTGTTTACTGTTTTTAATTGTGTATACCACCCTGAGTTGCAGGTTGAGTAAGTAGCTATATAAATTTATTAAATATAAATAAATACCAAACAAAAATACTGTACTTAATACTATAACAATTTAGCTTGAATGGGAAAGAAATTTATTTTTAGAGCTATTATTTTCAATGTAACAATTCTGCTGTTTCACCAGGAATTTAGACTTCTTTCCCTGATGGGGCTTTCTACAACCTAAATCATGATATTTTGAAAGGTTATACATTTTTTATTAATGGAAGTATTTTTTTTCCTTTATTAGTATGGACACATTTGTAGAATGCCACAGAAGTGACCTTGGAGAAATTATGCAGTGATAGTTACAAGAACATGTTTTTAGCCTGGGAAACAAAGAAAACACTAGAAAGGAACTCAAACTGGCTTTTCCTTAACTCCCTAGGGTATAAGAGGGAAGGAAGGGAAAACAAAGTCAAGCTTTTAAGATTCTTTTACCATTGCCTATATTAATAAAGTATAGTTCCAGTGAAAGTTGTGGAGTCTGACCTCAACTACCTTGAAGAGCTGAGATTAGTTATAAGGAAATCGTGGCAAACAACTGAGTCTAAAACAACTTTCAGTTATTCTACTTCTCTATCTCCCCTTCCATGGATAGTTAACTACAAAAAGAATAATATGGAGAAATGCCAGTTCACCTTCTACACAGGCTGTTCACATGATATAAAGTATATTGAATAGAAACAAATGGTTCATATATCTGCAAAGATTTGTATCAACCTTATTATATAACAAGGGCAGTTAAATGTCTCCTTTCATGCTAGATAGGCCAATAGTTTAAGAACTATGTGGCCCAGTATTACATTTCCAGAATGCTTTGTGGCATAAGAGTTACTTCTCACACTGATAGGAATGACAGTGTTTTGGCAGGGGTGGGGGCAGTTTTAGTTATTTATTATTTATTTATCTATCATATTTATATGCTGCCCATCTCACAAGATGTGACTGTGGGTGGTGTACAATAAAAACCATAAAATAAACAATATTAAAAAACATATGACAATTAAAGCATCCCCTCTTCAAAAAAGAGGCAAGCTTCCAGCTTTCTGCATAGAAAAAGCAGGAACCAAAAAAAAAAAAAACTAGACAAGAATTTTGCCACCCTAAGTTGCCTATATATCGACATCTAATTTGAAAGCTGACTACTGACTGGAATTCTTGTATTGTAACCATAACCTTCCTTCTAGTAAATACTATTAATCAGGGAAGAGTGCAAAGAGGGACACAAGAAGGAGGAAACCTGTGAGGTAAACCAATGTGGGCAGGGAAGAAAAAAAGGGGTAGGATTGTGAATGTGTTGGGAAAGAAAAAGGATTGGGTGTGTAATTCTGTGAGAGAGAGAAAATCTTGTGTGCTGGGAGTATCAGAAGGAGTAATTGTGTGTTGGGAATATGGAAGGATGGAGGAAATTTTTATTTGAAGAAAGTGATCTTGAGTGAGAGAAATGTTTGATTTTAAAGAAGTGGGTTGTATTTTCAGATTTTAGACTTATCAGTTTGCCTTTTGTGAAATGGGTGTTATGTGACTGACACTGTCTACCATAACAACCATTTTGTGAATTGGCACCATTATAGCAAGTAGTTAGTGGTGGGTTATTAAGATTTTTAACTTCCAAAAATGCCCATTAGATTAAAAAAGCAGGAGACCCCCAAAACATGTATAAATGGCTACTTTAGAATGCAATAATTTAATAATGTATGGTGGTCTTGATTGGTCTTGAAATATGATGTCATAAACAAACTAACAAACATGCTACTGGGCATATACATTTAATAAATTTAAATTATTATTATATTATTAACATACATTATTACTTTTTTCAAGCAGTCTGCTTTTAAGGAAGACAGCATAAACTATCAAAACAGGTAGCTTTTTTCCCCAGCTGTAATACAGCATCAAACCCATTTTTCTTTGATATTAAAAGATGCACTCATAGAAATGGAATAAAGGGTTTGTTTTTGTTTTAAAAACCCACCAACTGGATTGTTTTTCTTACAACATATATTGATTCCAATTCATTAGGAAGATTTTAAATTATTTTGAAAGGAAGATTACTTAGAATCAGAGCACATTCAGATGCCTCATTTTAATCTTTATGACAGCTTTCATTTTGTCATAAAACAGAAGATGATGAAATATTTCCAAGGCGAGACATGTCAGAGAAAATTTCATTTCATGTAATGTTATAGTAATTTCTAACGAGGGAGTTTATATAAGTGTATGAACAATTCTCTTCAGTAAGATGAGCAAATGTATAAATAATTGAATACACACATTCCCATGCCCACAGAGACACACTTTTCTTTAAAAAATAATATATTGGGCCAAAAGTATCCTGTAAGTATAATAGCAAGTTTCTTATGCTAAAATTACTGAAGGTTAAGGAAAATATTCCCTTGTCTCCTCCAACAGTGTCTTTTAACTATTATTTTGGAAGGCTAGTGAGGGCTGAATTTGGTTTAAGTTGCATCAATAGGGAAGATATATGAATGTTATTAACATTGTTCTAATTTTCTCTTCTATATTCAAATCTTGATTCTTGTTTTTTAATGGGTTACAGTTTCCAAAATACTTATGCAGTGGCTCCTTTTTAGATGGAAAGAACAAATATTGAAGGATCTGCCTTGGAAAGACAGATTGCATTATTGAAATGTCATCCTTCATGCACATTTAACTTACAATGCAATTGCACCGGGTATGTATTGTAAATCTCACCTCTATGCATTCTTTTTCTATTATATCTAATCAACTCAAAGCTGCCTGATTGATGCACAGGAAGGGTGTTGCTTACGTACTACATTCCCAGATTGTTCTTTTAAAAAATGTAAACAGTCTCTGAGATCACATTCATAATCATGCTTTCCCGTTTTGATACCATGGCTGGGACAGATTTATGCTTAATTTTTCACAATTGCAATTATACAGTATAGGTTATCAAGTAAAGCCATACCCATAATATAAATGGGGTGGTGGTGGAAGATAATACACTGAGGTACACATAGATACAGATAAAAGACACAGTTGCATAGAAAACTATAGTAGCCAGAGTCTGTCAAAAATGTTTTAAATAACTGAAAAATATATAGTTTCACTTTAGAGGTACTTTAAATCTTATCAAAATAGACTCCTACAGCAAATAATTGAATCCTTTTAAATTCAAATGGAACCCTTTTAAACTAAAATGTAACTTTAAAAATAAAAATAAAGGGGGTGTGTGAAAATAACCTCCCCCCCTTTTTGTGTCAAAATTAGTACAAGGGAAGCAATGCTTCTTTCTGTGCACACTTCTGCAATGTGCTTCTTCCCCTCTTTTTGGCAAAATAACCAGAGGTTAATTACAGTAATTCAATCAAAATCTCTTATTTATTTCAGCACATGTCTGGTTTTGGGAGATTAAATACCTATCATAGCAGAACTGTCAACACTTATTTATTCATCAAATGAACACATTTTCTGACTAGTGTAGCAACATATTTTGTGTCTTAGTCTCATGGAAAATAAACAACTAGCTGTTGGCCTACTGTCTCGGAAAGTTTATTGTATTTGAGTGTGTATTATTTTGGAAGCTCAGTTTTGGAACATGCATCCATGTCAACAGAAAAATGATATCATGCAAATGGCATGAAAAATAATTGTAGGCAAAAGTGATGTCTCTCTGAGATAAAAGTGAACAATATTTATGGAAGCCAACTTTCTTAGCAAAGTGTAATGTCTCTGAAAATCTCCCATCATGTTGCTTCAAGAAGCTGAGCAGGGTTCCTTTTCTTGTTAATAAATATTCAACATTCAAAAGAGCAGGTTGGAATCAGTACATGACAGGTTTAAATTTAGTAAGCTTAATCTGTAACTACAGTAAATCTCAGTGACTTGCTGAACTTTTATCTTTTACAGTTTGACACTGACATTGTTGCAGTTATTTAGGGCTATCTTTATTGTTGGATAAATGTTCGTAACTTTAAATTAATACTATAAATGCATTACCTTGAATTAAGTACAGCAATATATTTGTTTAACTTTAAAATACACACATGGATAATGTATTGGTTGTTAAATACTATGAAAACTTTTTCAGATATGTAAGCCTTAAAATATGTTTTAATTTAAGACATTTATTATGACTTAGCTGCACTGTAATGTACCATGAAGTCACAACTATGAATAAATAGGACAGCTGTTTGCTAATAATAACCTTCTTTAAAAAAAAGTAAGAAAGGTGATTTCAGAAATTTCAATCATACTGGTTTATGAAATAAGGAGAAGGCAACCCACGAAATGTTGTTCTTAATGTCAAATGATATTGTTATTGCAAAAGCCCTTGGGTTGTTTAACCTGAGTATAAACAGTTTGAAACACTTTTATAAAACCATTTCCCAAATCATCCTTTTTCTACGTCACATTTACAGCAGAGAGAAGTCTGACATTCAAATGCATTTTTTATATATCTTCCCGTGTAAGGTATCTTGCATTTAATTGGTAGAAAAAAACGTGCACATTTTTTCACTGAGCCCTTTATTACTAGGAGCAGTAATAAAACAAAGCATAACAAAAGATTCAAAACTTTGCTTGCCTTGTCACATCACAATTGCAGTCAGGAAGATCTGAATCCACACTGTGATCGTCTGCCATTTTCAGGGCATGTAAATCCACCAGCACCAGCATTAAATTTTCCAGTATAATCACTAAAAGCATTCAGTCCAATTATTACTGGAGACTCTGTACTTTACAGTACCGTGCAAATTGTGCTCACCCTTCAAACCTATGTTGGTAAGTCACTGCCTGATAATATGAGACTAAGATGTGTGACAAGTGGTCATGCTTCTAAATAAAACTTACATTCATCAACATGTGCCAGGGTGATCTTCTGGAATGTAGGCCATGAATGGGTGAGGGGAAGGGGAGAAAAGCTTTCACTGTACATTCTGAGCAGCTGTAGACTGAACTGTCCAAACAGGGAATCCAGGAAAAAATGTGCCTGGCTAGTGTAATCAAATAAAAACCGGGGCTTTTGTTTTATTTGTTCCTTTGCTGGGTGCTATGTGGACCTCTTGTTCATGTTTTATAATTTTCAAGGGACCATTAGGAGGGATTACAAGAGGCAATTAAAGTAGCAAGAAAAGGGATTTTGGACAATCTAAACTGAACTTTAACAAAGATACAAAAGTAAAGGGAAATAGTACAGTAAAAATAATATTCAGTTATACATATCTTTCTTTCAGATCAATAAACAAGTTAAAATCCAACTGATAATAATGGAAAACATTTAAGCATTTACTTAATAAAGTCATACTACAATAAATAGGCTTAAATATATTTAAATTTAACTGCTGTTATTTTTTTAGAAGAAAAGGATATTTATTTATATTGAAAGCTTTACGTTATAGTGCTAAATGGCTGAGAAATAGAAAATTATAAATGTGTCTTAAATATAATTTTCCTTTCAGACATGACAGTTTGATAAAAACATGTTGTTGTCTAAATACTGCTGCTTTAGATCTTCTACCATCATGCTTTTATTTGCTCGAAAACCCACATCCTGAGGAACTACCTAGTACTGCAAAAAATGACAATTCCAGATTCAATGAATCTACTTGAATTGGTACTTGGAACCAACCTTGACATGAAATCCTTTTATGGAAGAGGTTTATGCTGTCACAGTAAAATAGGAGGCATCAATGCATCACAGAAAATTACAAAATAATTAAGTGGAAACCAAATGGTTAAGTATCATTTGAAAAAGAGGTATCATAGAAGCTTCTGATGTGCAAGTGATGTTATTCTTCTGTTGTTAGCAGAATAAAAGATTGCTCCTGTTCTAGAGGTGAGAGGCAGGGCATTTCACAAATATAGGATAGACGCTGAAGTGTTATCCCATGTTTCCTAAAAGGATTTCCCATAAGAAAAATTGAGCCAACCTACTATAGATCTAGCTCAATGCCTTTAAGTGTCCCCAAAAGCCATTATGGTACCTCAGAAAAAGTAAATGTGATGATGAGTCGCTGGAAGTTGAGCAGCATATAAATTTAATAAATAATAATAATATCAGACAGAACTATGCATGGTCCTTTGAGAGGCTTTATAAAAGGGTGGTTTAGAAATGTGATAATATATGACTTCTGTGCATTTAATAGGAGCATTCTTGGGGTACTCATAATGTTACACATTTTTGTAGGCGTGTCCTAGATGTACAGTCATACACTGATTGATGTTACCAACTTTTCTGGGTCTAAAATGGGAACAGAAATGGTTAAAAATAATGGATCATGAATAATAGATGTCTAGAAATGAGGAATGTGAATAAAGAGGATAATAGCTAAGGAAAAGTTTCAAATTTTGTTTAGCTGGCTGTGAATTTCAGCACAGTCTCCCATAAACAGCTCATCTGTGAATCTTTCTTTCTGACTGGGTCTTAATATGAAAGTCAGGCTGCTTTGTTTTTCTTTTTTGTTAGTATTTGTGGTTATACCCCACCTAGAGTCCTCCAAGATGAGAAGTACCATAAAATACATGCACACACACATGCAAACATACCTGGCTGCAATGAGATCTAAAAGATGTTGCCATCTGTCATTGACCTTGCCAAGTTTATACTCAATCTCCAGAGCTTTGCTTTCATGGCTTGCTTTAGCGAGCCGCTCTCCCATTTCCTGAAGCTGCATTTTATTCTCTTGGGCAACTGCAATTTCATCTTGATAATCCTGAATGACAGGAGAACATAAAAAACCCAGTAAGCATCCTAAGAAAATCTTGCTTAGAGCAATGAATGGTTGCTAGGTTGCTCTTGTCTGGGAAGGTTACCCCTAAATAATATCTAAACATGATGTCCCTTTTCTATAATTCTGAAGGTATTTACAGGAGATAATAATCTAACATACATAGACAACAGGAAAATAAAACCCCGAAAAGTTTGCAAATTGGTGCATCCCAAATTAGTGTCATTCAGGTATGTTGAAATATAAATCCCAGATTTTCCAGCCAGCATGGCCTTTCTAACACATCTTAAAGGCAGCAGATTGTGAAAGACCATATAAGATCATATCCAAGATTTTACTGAACAGCTTCCTGGAATATAGCATATTACAGCTCTGATAAACCAAGAATATTTATAGAATGGTCTACAACAGGAAAGTAGAAGCACTGTACCTTTTTGAGTTTCTCAATCATTTCTTCAATGAGGATATCTCCATTCTGAGAAACTTTACTCTCCATTTGTGTCAACCATTCACAGAGCTCTTTGTTCTTCTCGCTGAAGACTGCCCATTCATTCAGTCTCTCACTAACCTGCTGCTGCCTCAAGGAAACCTTTAAATATGTGCAGGAAGAAAGCTAGATTATGATAACAAGAAGAGTTGGGCATAATGTCAGCCCTGCACTACGACGATCGCTGGAGTTAAGAGAGAAGTAAAGTTTTAACCTTGTGTGATTTCTTTAACACTTTAACAATAGTCATTAATCTTAGGTTACTCCTAGCCAAACTGCAATGAGAGAGAAAGCTGTACACAAATACTAGAAGTTTCTAGGCACACAATTAGGCTGCAGAGGAAGATAAAGGAGTCCAGGCTTATCAGTTGTAGACAACTGGTGTTCTTCATATAATGCTAGTCAGGTAACTATCTCTACAGCATAGACACTTGCTTTTCAGATTACACATAAATATAGAGATTACTTTTAAATACAGAGCTCCAATCAATCACAAAAAGACTATATCTTTTAACAATTATGAGGTTAAAAAAAAAGGAAATATATTATTTTTGAAGTAGTTTTCCAAAATGCAATAAATTCTGAGACTATGAGATCAGGTTTCTTGATCCTGGTGCTATTGATATTAATAGGAGAAAATATATGTAGCTCAGGGTTGAATTGTGGAGTCCTTGGGGTTCTCTGAGCTTGGTTTTCTTGCAAACGTTTTGTTACCCAGCTAGGTAACATCACTGAAGATGTTATCTAGCCAGGTAACGAAATGTTTGCAAGAAAACAACCAAGCTCAGAGAACCCCAAGGATTCTGATGTTGATATTGTTAATTTGGTCTACCATAACCCAATTGGCTTTTTAAAAATGCTAAGCATACAAGCACAGTAGGCAACTGAATTCACAAATATGGCCCCACTGATATAAAACATCACCGTAATTTATTTAAACAGTTTGCATCCAACTACATGTTCCATAAATGACTCAGATATTGGTAAATTTATTTCATATTTATATGTTGGTTTGTTTATGGGATTTATCCTCACCTCAGTGTGTTAATAGGTGATAGAGAAGGTGGATACAGATAACATAAATAGAAAAATACCCAAAATAACAAGGACATGTTACAAATTACAAGAACAGATTAGATTAACGTGGCCCTGATCACTCAATCAGTCCCCTATGGCCTTCAAAAGAACCAAGTCTTTACCAGCTTCTGGAAGGCCATGAGAGGAAGGCCATTCTTGCCGCAGGGGGGCAAGCTGTTCCAAAGGAGAAGGCTCCCCACAGAGAACAACTTGCAAGCCCAGAAAGATGGCTTGTAGTAAGGAAAGACTTGGGGTCTCTGATGGTTTCAGCTGATCCCACCAGATCTGACATACAAATGAAAAGGAAATAGAAGTCTGGCAACAAATTGTCTCTGGATATAAACTTATAATAACACAATTTTTTAAATCTTAAAATGTAGATCAAAAGAAATTTAAGCACATGCAAACCAGACCTATAGAGAAAATACATTTTTATATTCTGCCTTTTTCAACAATCTAAAGACAACTTTACTTACTGCACCTGTTTCTTCTTTTCTATAAATATAGTTCCTTCTGAGCTTATGTATTTCCTTTACTGAGGAAGGAAACACGCAAAAAAATGACCACAGCCCATATTTAGATATATAAAACAAGATACAGATGACTCCAATTTCCCTTTGTGTTTTTTTCATACCCCAGTATCAAAAAAACTATTCTAGTTCTTTTCTGTAGAGCTAAACTTGCATGGAGAAAAACTGGTCTGACCAAGCAGGGCAAAACTGCCTAAAATTCAAATTTGCCAATGCATCAAGATCAGAAATAAGGATTTAGTTGTTCAATGTGCAGCATACAAAATGTATTTATTTATTTGAATTAGCTTTTATTTAATTGAACTAAACTAGTTTATTTATTTGAACTAGCTTATTTATTTGAACCTGTCTCCCACCTCCCAACATAGCTAGGATGCATTCTGACTCTTGAGCCTTCAAAGGATACATCTAACTGAACAAGGCATAGGTGAAATTAGAGACTGCCAGTAAGTACTGCTCTACCCTAAGCCTAAATAAAGGAATTTACCCTATCTCTAAATAATGAATAGATAAGAAATAGATAAGACATTTACCCTATGTCTAAATAATGAATAGATAAGAAACAAGAGCCTTTTTTTTGCTGCTAGATGCACTAAATGGTATACACAGCCAAAACCATTTTTCTATCTGTATATTTCTTTTGTGTAAACTTCAGAATTCATTGCCAGTCATTGCAGAGACACTGCCTATGAGCCACGCAATTTTCTAGGCTGAATCCTAAATCACAAGGATACTTTTCAATAACCTCTGCAAAAGTTTTAGGATCTGCATGATTTGCAGTCAGCATCATCAGGAAGCAAGTCCTTACTGAAAATTAGAATCTTCCATGGTGACAAGTAATGGGACTAATTTCTCAGGTTTGTTTTTTAAGCTTTTATGCTTTCTGATGAGTGAATACTACTCCAAAATACCTAAAACATTTTACCTGGGCCTTCTGGCAAAGACCATTACTTTGGTCTTCTGATAGTTATTTGCAAGTGTTCCCCACTGCAATACTGGGCAAAAGACTTGAATGCCTTTCTAAGGCCAATTAAGGTTTGTGACAGTAGCACTGCACCATCAGCATACAATAGCATTAGGATGCTCTTTTCTGCCAACCTAAGCAGATGATACGGCATGGCATCTAAACTCTTGGTGACAGTGTTTATATAAAAGTTGAAGCATTTATATATGTATTTATTTCAAAATATTTATAGCATACCCCAGACTTTGAGCAGGGTATGCTAAAGTCAAGATAAAAGTAAGGTATTGAAAATCAGATACAAATAGGAAGAAATAATCAACAAAAGAATCAAACTAACCTAGCATCATTCTTTTGGCTAGACAGAGTAGGGGCATTCCATACAGATAGTCCTCACTTATCGATGGTAATTGGGACCAGAATTTCCATCGCTACGTGATGCAGTCGGAAAGGGCAACATCATGTGACTGCTCCACTTTGCAGCAGAAATTCCTGCACTTCTGGTTGCTGTCATTAAGCCAATCCCATGCTGTTGTTAATTGAGGATGTCACATGGTCGCCATTTACAATCTCGTGCTGGTCAATTTCCATTGACATTGCTTGTAGGAAGCTGGCAAAGAAGGTTGCAAATGGTGATCATGTGACTGGAGGACTCTGCAATGTTGTAATTATGAGCAGGGCACCAAGTGCCCAGATTGCGATCACATGACCATGGGGATGCTGTGACCAATGTAAGTACGAAGACTGGTCGTAAGTACCACTTGTTCAATGCTGTTGTAAGTTTGAATGGTCACTGAATGAGTGGTTATTAACTGAAGACCACCTGTATTTCTAATGTAAATATGGCACAAAATTTACTTACAGTACTCAGCAAGCTTATCTGTATATTACTACCAAGATCATCTTTGGCTCCTTTTTTACATATAGGATTTATAATAGCCACCCCAATCACGAGGAATCAGAGCTGTTTTGTTAATACAATTAAAGAGCAATGCCAGAACTGCCAGAAATCAGCATTTGTCTTATTAGCTGTGGTGTAGAACAAATGCTTCCTAGTACCCTCCTTGTTCTGGTGCAAGGATAGCCCACTAATCTCCCAAGCATACGTCCATGTGCCTCTGCCTGTATTTCAGTGTCTTTCTACAGCTGAGGCAGCCTAAGCCATGTGTTGTGCTTGGAAGTGGGTTTTTCCTCTAATATTCTGCACGAAATCATTGCATGGGAGTGACAAGGAGGTGGCATGAAATGACATGCTCCGTATCAGCAATATTGCCATTCTAATTGATTTTGCCAGTTTCCTTGGGATCATCCCCTTCTGCTGGTACCTGATCTTTTTGTCCACCTTTTAGTCAACTTTTGACTGTAATGGGGCTTAGATCCCTGAAACCTTTTTCTCTCTTTTTCCTTTGTAAAAGGGTTGATCAAACAGTTATATGGGCAATGAGTAAAGCAAATGCCCCTGATACTGACTATGCTTCCCTGGTTTCCTGAATGCTTTGGAATGTGCAACTGAAAAACTAGGTTCTATGAGTTGCCATGTACAATATGTTTGTTTGCTTGTCTCTTCATGCAACCAATCCATCAACACACAGTTGAACAAACAGCCAAGAAATACAAAAACTTTAACTCTTTGCTGCTACCTACTGGTTGAAAGGTAGATTTGTTGACCTAGAGAGTGCAAAGGCCTGAAAATGACCAACCCATTCTTGGCTTAAGATACCAAACTGAAAGAGCAACTGAATGGACTCCGCTCTTACACTTCTGTAGCATGCATGGTAGAAAATTCCCTTCTTTATTACCACTGCTTGAGGTGATCTCTGGCTCCTCACTTCCTCTCTTCATGTCATGTTCTTAGGGTAGTGAACAACTTTCATATTGACCCCCATACCCTTTGACATTTGAGCTAGGCACATAACTGCAATACTACAGGTGGGATCCTGAAAATTGGCTGTACTATGCATATAGGAGAGGCCCCATTCTAGCACTTAGATCAGCCCCAAGTATTACATGAATTGTTGGAGACTTGTTGGTCATCTCTAAAATATAGTTCTCCTTCTGCTCACAGATGTTTAATCTCTGTACATAAATGCTGAGGTGTTAGATATATATTAATCAAAAGTACACTACAATGCTTAATTTTTGATAGAGCCACCACCACCAAACTGGCTTTATATGGGAATATAGATTTTTTTATCTGCAATCTTATTGATATGGATAACTCCAGTCTTCTATTGGCCCTTTCACATCTACTACATGGTATGCCATCTATTAAGGGTAGATGGATTGCTGCACATATCTTCTTGATCTTATTGTAGGTATTTGCCCAGGTCAGCTGATGAGTATGCCCCAGGAAGTCTTCTGTTAGAGCTGATTAAAAGATGCAAACTAGGAGTGAGTTTGTAATCCTGGCAGGTTATTTAATTTTCCATCATATCTATAGCTGTTCTCTCTTGCTCTTAGATACATGGCTGAACCTTTTCTATGCATTATCTTAAGGTGCAGGGCTTAAGATCTCGAAACATTACAGTGATTTCAACTGGATTACTGATAGAATCTGCCCATCTTGGGTCATTATGGGCTTTGGATTTTTGAGTGGCTGAGTTTATCCTGTGGGTTTTAAGCAAGTATGTTCGTTTTTAAATAAGTCCTGATCCAGAGGCATTGGGGACATTCTCGGATAGTTGAATATTAAGGCCATGCCAGGGACATATTATTGTAATTCTTGAGCAGTGCCAGAAACTTCAACCAGCAACTCCTTCAACTTCTCTAGCTTTACTAAGGTATCACTCTGCTGTGTGTGTGGGAAGCTTTTGTAAGAATTAAGAAGACTCTGCTCTTCTTCCAATATTTGGGAAAGATCTGACTTTGGTACAATTGTTCTTTGAGTGATATCTGGCAGCCTTGAGGTTGTAAAAGAAGAAAGCTCTTATTCTGACAAATGAGGCATAAAATCCTGGTTATAGCTGCCTGCTCTTAAACGTATTTTTTCTTTGGCATTCTAGACTATTTAAAACTAAAAGTGGTAACTTGAGGTCCTTAAAATGTCTCACTAGCACAATTTGGAATTTCAATTAAAAAACTGTCATCCTAAAAAGCATCTGGGAAATGAAATAAGTCTTAAAAGTTATTATTGGTCTCTTGTAACCATTCCACTTATCTTCCAAATTAGTGGAATAAACAGAGGTTTATGTAAACCAAAGTTGCCTTACTTTTGTGCCACCCTCCCTGTTTACAGTCTATTGTTTTCTTAAGCAAACTCTATTTGTACGAAGCAAGAGTTGTCTGGAGTTATCCATATCTGAAATTATAGTTTTCTTCTCTGCCAGTTTCTCTTGATGTCTTTATTAGATGTTATGTTATGCTTGATCCCTGAAATTAAACTTCTTTCTTTTAGTTAATTCTGTATTAATTGGACTTGATAAATACTTAAACATTAAGTTCTCTAAACATTTCTTCTCTTGGTACTGCAAAGAGCATTCCACAAATATTTTTAATCTGGCAATCTTATTAAATACTGTTTTCAGTTGTTCAAATATTGAAAGCACAATATGAGCAATAGGCAAACAGTATTTAGCCATCTTGTTTAAATCAGAGAATCACCTTCTCGTGAGAGTGAGCAAAGCTGGAATAGTGTTTAATCCCTCTTCATCCTCTAAAATGTTGATATTATTGTCATCAGGATCACCCTATTCGAATACAGAACAGAGTCTAACTCCTGGTAAATTTGTTTGGCATAAAGTAAAAATCCAGGAAGTTTACCTGATTTGTCATTTCTTTGTGTTTAAATATAACTTCTATCTTCCATTTCTTAACACACATGAGCAGCTGAAATTTAGAGCGCTTCCTGCACCTCTTCTTTGCAATTGATTCTTTAATTACTGCAATTGCCCCCACTGAGGATTTTTAGATGTTTTGGTTTTAAATGTTTTAGCTTTGTTTTGGACAATTGAATAGATCTATTACCCCTCTTAAGGGTTTCAACACTGGTTCTTCTGGATCCAAAATCAAGGCAACACTGAGATTCCATTCTCAAATACACTAGGTCAGTGTTGTCCAAACTTGGCCACTTTAAGATGAGTGGACTTCCTCCCAGAAATTCCCACCCCCCCACTCTGGGCCGGGGATTTTTGGGGGTTAAGTCCACTCATCTTAAAGTGGCCAAGTTTGGA